TCCAGCAAGGATGTGCCATGTTCTTTGTTATAAGTCTTTGCAGATTCTCAGTTCTGTACGTAGAAGAGTAGAACTGGTTTTTCCCAACATAACCACATACCACCTGAAGGATTCATTCTGTTGTGCGGTTGGTTTCATCATTCTTACATACGACAAAGTACTTTTTTGTTGTTAATGTAACACCGACAAGGAAGGTGTCTTATCATCTGTGTGATTGTCTTCCTCACGTGGTCTTGAAGTAGGTTCTATTAAATTACGGAATGTTAGACATAGAAGGGAACCATATAGGTCATTTAACCTAACGTCCTTATTTTATAAAAGAGGAGTCTGAACCTTAGAAGGGTTAAATACCTTGCCTAGGGACTGAGTTCTAAGTGACAGAGCTGGGACTTGAATTTAGATAATATGACACAAATTCCAAAGCCTTTTCTACTATACTGTCATGTCTTTTGGATCCCTGGTGGCGCAGTGGTTAAGAGCTCGGCTACTAACCAAAAAGGTCAGCAGTTTGAATCCACCAGCCACCCTTGGAAACCCTATAGGGCAGTTCTGCTCTGTCCTATAGGGTTGCTATGAGTCAGAATTGAGTCAGCGGCAACAGGCTTGGTTTTTTGGTTTGATCATGTCTTTTCATGAATACTTTGCTAACAAAGTGTCGCTTTGTGACTTTAAAGCCAAAGCTGCTTATCATGGCCTGTTGGTAGAAGTTCGCTCCAGTAGATCTTGACAACAACGCACATGCACGCGTCTGTCGTATTTTGTGAACGACAGGGCTGTGCTCTGTGGCCAGCTAATACAAGAGGTAGTTATACATTTATACACACAGAACATATATATAAATTTCTGTGTATGTATATGCACCCGTAATCTGTTGCCATCAAGTCGATTCTGACTCATGGTGATCCTATAGGACAGAGCAGAACTGCACTGTAGGTTTTCTAAGACTGTAATCATTATGGAAGCAGACTGCCGCATCTGTCTCCTGTGGAGCAGCTGAATTCGAACCACCTACCTTTTGGTTAGCAGCCAGGTGCTTAACCACTGCCCCACCAGGGCCTCTGTGTATATACATACATGTGTAAATAATATATTTATTTTAAATAATGACTGTTTAAAGAAGATTTTTCTTTTTATTTAGATAATTGTTTATAACTGCTTTCCAGTCAATGCTGTTTTCTCTGTTTCATGCTTTGTACTGATGATGATTTTCTTTTCCATTAAAAACATTTTTAAGATGTTTGATAACTTGTGGGAATTAATTTTAAGAGTTGCATTTTAATATATGGCAGTATTCTGGTTGCTATTATGTTAACTTTTAAGTTTCTGTGTAAAAAAATGGGAGGTGATTTCTTTCTTAGATATATTGAATAAGTTAAGTCATTGATACTCTTAGCTTTATGGGAGCGGGGACTGTGTTAGTCTTGTTTCCTCTTGAGTCACTGTGACCTGGGATATGCTTGGCAAGTAGTAGGTACTCAGGTAGACTCTTGGTACTTGTTGAATGAGTGAATTATATTTTTCCATGTGTTGAATTCATTTCTGTTAATAATTTTTTAGAAGACTTTCCTTTGTCATGCACTTAACAAGTAGATGCTGAAATATACATTTACACAAATAAAATATGATGCTTTTTTTTAAAATCATTTCCATTTTTATTTTCTTTTACCATAATGATTAATCTCCTACTGGAATAAAGTAACTCTGAGGCCATTGCATGTGGATATAGTATTCCTAAAACCAAATATTTTTACTAGCATAGTGCATAGTTTAAAAATGTTTTTGTGAATGTCATTAAGAATTTTCTATGGAAGAATGGAATATGTATTCAAAGGTTAACAGTATCTGTGCCAACACTCCATTCAGTGGCTGTGGCAATGGTTTAATAAAGGCCTCTCCATGGAACAGAGTAGAGTCAGAAAAACAAAAACAGACCTGTGTATGCATGAAAATTTTAGTACATGACAAGTGGCATTTAAAATCAGTGGAGGGAAATGATCATTTTAGGAAATGATGTAGGGACATTTAGCTATATTTTTTAGCTGTTTTTAATATTGTGTTACAAATACATATCACAAAATATTTGCCTTTACAACATTTTTTACACTTACAATTCAGTAACTTAGTTACTTTTATTATGTTGTGCAGCCACCAACACTGTTCGTGGCTGGATTTTTCCATCACCCTTAACACAACTCAGTGCCCCCAAGGCATTGACTGACACTGGCTATTCATTTGAGGAACTAAAATAGTTATATCCCTGTTGATGAATTTTTAAATCATTATTTACAGTTTAAAGGAATACATGAAAACTGTAACTATGCTTAATAGATTACACAGCACGCTGTGTCACTTTGAACATCATGATGAGGGATTCTAACCTGAATGAACCTGATGGATTCCATCCAGCAACTGCCTCGACTTTCTGGATTGTTAATGGCTTTAGGTGATCCAGGTAAATGAGGTTGCTCTCCCTGAATAACCCATCTCTTGGTATTGGAGAAGGACAAATCAGGCAAATCTTAGCTTTGTCTTTGTAGTGTCTGCTGCTTAACTGCCACCATGCAGGCATTGCCTCCAACGGTGACGACGAATAAGTCACTATCTACCAGTAAAAATAGGGCAGCGGAGTACGAGGAAAACTGGAGAACAAAACAGTTGTTCTGTCACTGTATGTGATTGCATCCTCACCAGTGTCAATTTGGTGCTCTCAATTAGTTTTCTGTGAACTCACTAAAAACCCTGAAACATATATGGAGTCATAATTGTACTCTTTTCATGATTGTTAAAAGTTCAATATGAATATTATAATTTTTATTTGTACCGCTTCTAAAAGAAAACGTTTTTCTACGTCTCATAAAATAATTTTAGCAGATAACAAATATTTAGCAGAATGTATGGGGAAAATAGTATAGGTTCAGATATCATTTGTAGAAAATTAAAAACCAAGCGTGTTGCCTTTGAGTCAGTTCTGACTCATAGCAACCCTGTAGGTCAGAGTAGAACTGCCCCATAGGGTTTCCCAGGAGCAGCTGGTGGTTTCGAACTGCCAGCCTTTTGCTTAGCAGCCATAGGTCTTAACTACTGTGCCACCAAGGCTCCTGTAGAAAATTACAGGTATGGATATAAATTAAGGTTTGATAATTGGCTAGAAAATAGAGTAATGAATTGATACAATTATGTAGAATCTCAGTGAATATAGTTTTTGATCATTGTAGTAGTAAAATTTGCTGTATCTAGGTATGTGGTATATGTATTAATTTTTAATTGTGTAAAAGCTGTAGCTACCTCTTCCTTATTTGATACAGTGTATCCAAGAGGGTCAGAATATCTCAATTTGCTGGTCCAGTGAATCTTAATTTAAATATTGTATGTATAAAATATTAAGAAACTCACATATTATATGCAGTTTACATAGTAACTAGGTGATCTTATCCTTAAAGCATTCTTGGTCATCTAGTGCTGCTATAATAGAAATACCACAAGCGGATGTCTTTAACAAAGAGAAATTTATTCTCTCATAGTCTAGTAGGTTACAGGTCTAAATTCATGGTGCCACCTCCAGGGGAAGGCTTTTTCTCTCTGTCGGCTCTGGAGGAAGGTCCTTGTGATGCATTGGTCTTCCCTTGGTCTGGGAGCATCTCAGCACAGGAACCTCAGGTCCAAAGGATGCGCTCTGCTCCTGTCACTGCTTTCTTGGTGGTATGAGGTCCCCATGTGTCTCTGCTCGCTTCTCTCTTTTATATCTCAAAAGAGATTGGGTTAAGACACTATCTAATCTTCTAGACCTCATCACTATAACTGCTGCTAATCCATCTTAATACATCATAGTTATAGAGTTTACAACACATAAGGAAATCGCATCAGATTACAAAATGGTACACAATCATACAATACTGGGAGTCGTTACCCAGCCAAGCTAACAGATATTTTGGGGGGACACAATTCAATCCATGACAAGCATTATCATTGTTATTGACCTAGATCATCTTGGGAAGCTAATTAATCATGAATGTTGTTTCTTAATGCTTTGGAGATTAATAATACATATTATTCACCTTAAAATAAATTTGGATTTTAAAATTCAGTAATTTGAAATAGAGATAACAAGGGCCACATAAACCAGAGACTCCATCAGCCTGAGACCAGGAGAACTAGATGGTGCCTGGCTACCACCAATGACCGACCTGACAGGGAACACAACAGAGAGTCCCTGACAGAGCAGGAGAAAAGTGGGATGCAGGACTCAGATTCACATAAAAAGACCAGACTTAATGGTCTGACTGAGACTGGAGGAACCCTCGAAGCCGTGGCCCCGGATGCTCCGTTAACCCATAACTGGACCATTCCCAAAGCCCACTCTTCAGACAAAGATTATACTGGACTATAAAACATAAAATAATACTCGTGAAGAGTGTGCTGCTTAGTTCAGGCAGATTCGCAAGACCAGGTGGGCAGCTCCTGTCTGGAGGTGGGATGAGAAAGCAGAAGGGGACAGGAACTGGTTGGATGGGCATGGAAAATTCAGGGTGGAAAGGGGGAGCATGCTGTCACGTTGTAGGGATTGCAACTAGTGTCACATAACAATATGTGTGTAAATTTTTGTATAAGAAATTAACTTGAGCTATAGACTTTGACCTGAAGCACACTAAAAAAAAAAAAAAAAGCAATAAAATAAAATAAAGATAGCCTATGAATTAAGAGAATATGGCAAATTGATTTGGTTAAAATAGGTAAAAGATAGCCAAGTATTTTCAGCAGTGTCAGCTTGGTTACCCTTGAACCATGAACCTTCCACATTTAGCATGACCTCTTGACCGCTGATATACCTCTAAGTCTTATACCCATTTTAATTGATAATTGTGCTTATTAAAAATGAAACAAGGCATTTTTAATAAGAACTGACAACATAAACTTGTCTAGAAAACTAAGAAAAAACATAAAATTTGAGATTTCACAGTTTGTGCTATAGAAATTATTTATTAACTTCTTTTGTGTTTTAGAAAATGGAAGTGTCCAGGTTGGAGAATTGTTACCTTGCAAGATTTGCGGAAGAACATTCTTTCCAGTAGCGTTAGTGAGTAGACGAATTCTGTTCCTTTTTGCTGTTGGAATTTGCTAGACAAGTAAATGCTTAATACTTCAGGACCGCTTTCATAGGAGGAACCTGTGTGGAGTAATTTGAAGAGATTCTAAGTAGTGGTCTCTGCTTCGTAATATCGGTTCCATCCACTGTCTTTATTCCAGTTGGGTTGTTCTCCTTTATAGTTCTATTGTTCTTTAAAACTCCTCTATGAAAATGTTTAAAGTACATCAGGGAAAAATCAAAGAGGGGATAGATGAGACAGGATTGCTAAAATTGGATCATTGTTGAAGCAGGTGATGACTAAATGGAGTCTCTTTATACTTTTCTCTCAACTCTTACGTCTGTTTGAAAAATACTAAACTAACCTTTTTTTTAAAATATTAGAATGAACCTAGAATATATTATATGTTGCTTAGTTTTAGACGCTTAAATATGTACATTAGAAGCACTTTTAACTGATCTTAATTTAAGAAATAAAAAAACTAAGGAATAGTAAGAAGTAATATGTACTGTAAACATTCAGTGTCAAGCTTATTAATATTTTGATGTAGGATAAAGGATATTTCTTCTAACATGAATCTGCTGATTAGATATCTGCCACAGTCCATTTCCTATCTTCTTACCACTTCCAGTTTGTTTCTTTAAAGCAAAGTGAGGAAATAATGATCCCTCAGCATCCTTATCACTGCAGATTCCTTTTAAATAATGACGGCTTTTTTAAAAATCCTGTAAAAACGTCTGCACATAATTCAGTGATTTTTTTTAATCAATTCATTATTTTTCAAAACATCTTCAAATACTCATAAGTTTTCACAGAAAAAAAAAGCTTTTATTTGCCCAAATTTATTTATTTAATATTTAATTACATGATGTAGTCACTGCAACTGCAACTCGTGTAGTCAGGCTTGGGGACAAGTACCACTGACTCTTGACATATACAACTCAGTTTCTGGGAATGGAGGTACATGAGTCTACTAGGAAGTAGCATGTTAGCCTCACTGTTTTCTTTTTCTCTTTTTAATAATTAGATTTTATTCTAACAGCTCTGATTACAGTCTTGTTTATTGAAATGAAAACTGAAAACACATCTACAAAACATTTGATTATAATCGTGTTTTAAAAGCAGTAAAAGGTTCCATGACACCAGAAATAACCAGTTCTGAGTTTTTGTTTTTTCCTGCCAAGATAAAATGCAACAGCCCCAGTTTCTTCAGTGTTCATTAAAATACTAAGGAAGGTACATTTAGTACACATTTAGTGGAATGATTTCATCAGTCACTGTGTTTTATGTAAGGTATGGAGAATGTTGTTTATCCAGAAAGTTGAGTGGAGGTTAAGAGAGCTTCCATTGTGATGTCGTTAAGTAAATGATTGAATTAAACAATTGACAGCTATATATATATACATAAACAGACCTATAGGAGTTGATAGCCTAAGGGGCTACACTGGATAAATCCTACATTGGATAGCCCAAGAAAAATCCTAGGTGAAGAAAGGTAACATGATTGAGTTCCAAAAGGGAGGAAAAAATAATTGTGGGGGAAGGATACAAATCTGACCATTTTGTCTACTATTGTGTTATGTTAACTTTATGTATTATATAAATTTTATTTATTAACTGCTACTATGTTAACTGGAGCCCTGGTGATGCAGTGGTTAAGAGCTTGGCTACTAACCAAAAGATCAGCAGTTTGAATCCACCAGCCACTCTTTGGAAACCATGTGGGGCAGTTCTACTGTGTCCTACAGGGTCGCTATGAGTCGGAATTGACTCGATAGCAATGGATTCGGGGTTTTTTTTTTGGGGGGGGGTACTATGTTAAATTTAGTAATCCTAACTACTATTATGTTCCTTGTAATCCTAACACTAATGCATTCCTTACCATTTACTTCCTTTTTCTAGTATCTATGTCTAAGTTTTTAGTGATGAAGAAAACTTTTATTTTTCACTCAAATAGCTTTGAATTGGTTATATTATTTTCCTTATTTTTAGAAGTGAGAAAACTAGAAGGATATTAAATAACTCAATGAAATTTTGAAAGAGTATTTATCTACAGTTTCTTGTTGTGAGAGACATAGCATGCATTTTATGTTCATTTTAAAATTTTAATTTTAGTTAAGGCAAGAAGTGGCTATGAACTGTTATGCCATGAAATGTGAACAGCTTATTATTCAAATATGAAAATTTATCTACTGGATAAACATGACTTGCTACAACCCCATCCTTCCTTGCCACAATGTGGCTTCTGAAGATTTTCTTTCCAGGCTCAGAAGGTAGTTTGGAGAAGGAAACTGGAAACAGTGGGCATCAAAACAGAAACAGCAGTAAAATCTTCAGAGGAAATGTGGGTCTGTATTTGAACTGTGGCAAATAGAGCCACAGAGGGGAGTGGTAAAGTGCCAAGGTATTTTAGTAAAGCTAGCTCATTCTTTTGTGGAAATCAATTTTTTTAGTAATATTGAAAGTTGGTAGAAGCTTGTTTCTTTTCTAAAATCATGGAGTGAAAAAGAAAAGGAAAGTTCTGTAGATCAGTTCGGCAGTATGACTTTTATGTGCATAGTAGCTTTTCTTACCTGAAAAGTACCTGGCTTATAGTAGTCCTTCAGGAAGTATTTGTTGAATGAATTGTATATTTCTTTTGTTAAATAAAATATTGCTATCTTTTCTTATTAATCTTTTTCTTATCTTAAGGTCTTTAAACTGCTCTCAGATGACAGTGTAAATAGAGTTCTGTAGTTTTCCCTTCTATAGAAAAGAAGATGATCAATTGCATTTCTTCTTCTTAACAGAAAAAACATGGACCCATTTGCCAGAAAACTGCCTCTAAAAAACGGAAGACTTTTGATTCAAGCAGACAAAGAGCTGAAGGAACTGATATTCCAACAGTGAAACCTCTTAAGCCTAGGGTAATTACAGAACCTTTTGAACAGTGTGAACCTTGCTGCTATCTATACACTGACCAAAAAACCTTGTATTTGGTGTTATACTGAGTTTGAGGAATAAACAAAGTTATTCCGTGGCATATTTTAAGTTTAGACATTGCCAGAAGCTTGCTCATTTTAAACTTTTGCAAAGGGGAGGGTAAACTGTTGTCTCAAACTGCAGAAATGACAGGTGTTCGTGGCGTTGGAGAGTCAGTTGCTTAGCTCTAATCAGAAAATAATTTAAACAAAAAGTCTTCATATGTTCTTTGTAAGTTATTGTTAATCACTTTAGATGTAACTTAAGTATAATTTTTGAACTACAGTCATGCGCTGCATAATGCCCATTCAGGCAACATCTGGCTGCATATATGGCCATGGTCCCATAATGTTATATATAATGTACCTTTCTGTGCATAAAAAACACTTCCAGATACACTAAAACATCTTTAACATAATAATACAGTAATAATAATGTTTTGATGTGCGTTGCAAAGTAGTGCCCATTTGCTATTATGAATTTTTAATATAATAGGCTTTATAGGGGTTGGTTTATAACTCCAGGTTGTATATGAGTAGGATGTTTGTGTCTCGGGGACTGCCTGTATATAATACAGTGTTCTCACAACGTCCAAATCACATAACGTTCTGTTTCACAGAACGTAAAACGACGCATAACTGTATTACTGCCTCTTAGCATAGCCATCTATTATGGCTTAACGAACATTCACTCGTGTTGCATAAATCTCTCTGGAATCCCGCCCGTGTTAATTACCAAAACCCAGGTAGTCATGTTTTTCAGCCCTTTCCTGGATCACCATTGATTTTATGTGTAGTCTTATATATATGTATATATTTAGTTGAAACAGCAGATTTGGAGGCTCCTTTATTAATATTAAGGATAGTCCCTCACTTTTTTTGAGTACGTTGTCTATATATACCATTTAAAGCTCAATTTTTCATTTATTAGCGTTATTATAAACCCTAATTTCTAAATGTTCTCAAAATGAGATATAATTCCTTTTCTTTTAAAAAGATCTATCAGCTTTAACCTAAAAATCTATTGGAAGGTTAATTTATAATTGAATGTTTAAATGTACATTTGCTTTGAAATTCAAAAGATGAGAAAGTTTATTAAAAATACATATGTGGCACATATCTGTGAAAATCTTGGCGCATGTTGCATTTGCAACTTTATATACCATTATTTTATTAGTTTATATTTGTTGAATGGCCTTCTGATTTTTCTTATGAGAGAAGGAATCAGAGAAATTAACGTATATAACGTTAATTTTAGGTGTATGTTAGTGTGAGTTCAAAGTGAATTCCATTTTATTTAAAAATTTAAAAGTATTTCTATTCAGTTCCCATTATATGTAGTATCATCCTTGTATAAGGAAATTATACTTTTCACAGATGTCTTAGCATAATAGATATTAATTTTCTTGATTAATTGCAGTATTTGTGATTTTTTATTATTCCTTTTGCAGAAAAGTTTTTATCAGTTGCTCAGTTATCCATGTGTTAAGGATTGAATTGTGTCCCCCAAAAACGTGTCAACTTGGTGAGGCTATGATTGCCAGTATTATGTGTTGTCCTCCATTTTGTGATCTGATGTAATTATCCTATGTATTATAAATCCTAACCTCTGTGATATTAATGAGGCAGGACTCAATCTACAAGATTAGGTTGTATCTTGAGTCAGTTTCTTTTGAGATGTAGAAGAGAAACATGAGCAGAGAGAGAGAGAGAGGGACCTCATTACCACCAAGAAAAAGGTGCCAGGAGTGGAGCACTTCCTTTTAACCCAGGGTCCCTGGGCTAAGAAACTCTTAGACCCAGGGGAACATTGATGTCAAGGACTTTCCCCCAGAGCTGACAGAGAAAGCCTTCCCCTAGCGCTGACACCCTGAATTCGGACTTTAGCCTCCTAGACTGCAAGAGAATAAATTTCTCTTTGTTGAAGCCATCCACTTGTGGTATTTCTGTTACAGCAGCACTAGGTGACTAAGACACCATGCTATTGTCAGCTTATTTTCTTTCTTGGAACCAGAGCAATGACCCTCCCGTGATAATCTTTAATATCACCCGTGATATTTTATATTTCCGAGAATAAACCACCTAAGAAATACTTCGGTGTAGTTTTAAGAGTTACTTCAGTGAAATGATGAAGTTAAGCACCTGATTTTAAACAAGATTTTGAAACACAACTCTGCTTTCAATGGCAGTAACTTCTTCCAGTAGTACAGGAAGAACATTTCCCTATGGAGGCATTAATCTATTGATAAATCATTTGATAATAGAAAAATAAAATGTTCATCCCTGGTTTTCAGTCTCTGAACATTTAAGGGTAGGATAGTAAAGGTACATAAACCAGTATTTGAAGTTTTTCTTAGTAACCTGCCAGATACATGATTGTTTTAGCTTTAATTAGCTTCGGTAGATACACTCACCAGACCTCAGGAGGCAGTATAGCATTGTGGCTATGAAAGCTGGCTCAGGAGTCTCCTGCCTGGATTTAACCCTGGCTCGGCTGCTCATTATGTTATGATGGACAGGTTACTTAATCTATCTGTGCTTCTATTTATCTGTAAAATGGAGATAGCGATAACATCTGTCTCAGGAGGTTATTGTGGAGATTACATGAGATTATTCATATAAACCATTTAGAACAGTACCTGGTACATAGTAATCTCTCAAAAAAATTAGTTATCGTATTTCTTTTTTTTGAGGGGTGAATTGTATATTTAAAAAATTAATCTTAAAAAAACTCAAAGTAAAAATTGTGTGCTTTAAATTAAGTGCCTTCGTACCTTGCTACTCAAAGTGTGGTCTGTAGAGTATTAACACTGATACTGCTTGGCAGTTTGTTAGAAGTGCAGAATCTCAAGTCCACACAGACCTACTAAATTAGAATCTGCATTTTAACAATATCTCTTGATGATTCATATACACATTAAAGTTTGAGAAGCAGTGTCTTAGGATATTTGAACACTATTCTCACTATCCTTACTTGTCTCAAGGAAATCCTACAAAATCATAAGCAGAATGGGGGAAAAGCAAGTGTGAACTTCATTTTGGAGGAACTAATGATATGTATGGAGCCCTGGTGGCACAGAGGTTAAGAGCTACAGCTGCTAATCAAAAGATGGGCAGTTCAAATCCACCAGCCTCTGCTTGGAGTCGCTATGAGTCGGAATCGACTTGACACCCAAGGTTTTTTTTTTTTTTTTGTTTAATGACACGTATAATCCATTTGAAATATGTGTAAGGTCTGCCCAAAGCAGACCCAAAGAGATCATAGCCTCTACATCTCCCAAAATATTTGGTCTTTGGTTCAGTAACAAATGTGAAATATGTTCTTGGAGAATGCTACTTAAGAACCTTCTGTCAATCTCATTTTAAATATTTTTTTCCTCAGACTAAACCTATATAACAATATAATGATTAAGTGAAAATGCTGTCAGAACAAAAAGGAGATATAGTAGGTAACACTTTTTAATGGCAGAGGGGTTCTATGCCACCTATTATAACCAAAGAGACTTCCTGTCCTCTGCTTCCCTCCTTTACTAAGTTAAGTTCTTAAACCCAGTTTCCAGTTAAACTCTTTTTTGGGAAAATAATCAGTTGTTGCTGTAATTTTCCTGTCAATTATTGCTGAAATGCTTTAGTTTGCTTCCATTACTGCTAATGCCATTTATAACCAATCAGTACAATAAAATGACTTTACTTCAGTAAAATAATAATAATAGTAACTCTTTTAATGTTAAAAATGAAGAAAAGACCCTATATACAATAATAGCACACACTATAAAATACCTGGGAATAAACCTTAACGAGAAATTTGCAAGACTTCCACAAAGAGTGCTTTAAAAGACTACTGACTGACACAAATGAGCACTTCTTCAAATGGAAACACATCACATTCTCTTAGGTGCACTTAGCATCGTAAAGATTTTAATTTCCCTAAGTTATTTATGAATGTGATGCTTAATTTTTCCAGTTTAAATATAGTTGTTTTTCTGATTCTGAAGCTCATATGGAAAAATATACAAACAAGAATAACCAGAAAAAGACTGAAAAAGAAGCAGAATAAAGTAAGGCTGCCCTATCAGATATTAAAATATATTATAAAGCCTTGATATTTAAAAGACTAGTTCTGACACAAAGACAGAGCAGTGGAACAGGAGAGAAAGTTCAGAAATAGACCCAGATACAAGAGCATATGATAAAGGTACTATTTAAGATCAGTGGGATAAAAATTCAATAAATGATGATAGGACAGCTGTGTAGCCATGTTAGAAAACAAAAAGTAAAACTGAATTCATATGTCACATCATACACCAGGATGAATTTTAAATTAATAAAATATTTAAATTTTTAAAAATGGAAACATGGAAGTTCTAGGAGGAAACATGGGAGAATTCCATTTTACCTTGGTGCAAGGTACGGACTGGCTAACTGTGACTGCAAATTCAGAGGCGATAAAAGAAAAGATCAGTAAATTAAACTACATTTAAGAAAGAATTCTGCGTATCAGAAGACCCATGAGCAAGATCAAAAGACAAACAGAGGTGAGTAAAGGAACTAATCTCCTGTAAAGAGTTATTAGAAATGGATACAAAAAAGACCAGTAACCCAACAAATAAGTTGACCAGGAATATACACAGTTAACAGAAAAGGAAATACAGGCGGCTCTTGAAGCTCTGAGAAGATGCTCCACTGCACTCATTATAAGAGAAGTCAGTTAAAACCACACAGAGAGTACTATTTTTCATCTCTCCAGTCATTTAAAAACAAAAATCCAAAAGTTTGATAACATACTCTGTTGGAAAGACTGGAAAACAGAGAAATACACTCTTAGTGGGAACATAAATTGGTGTAACACCACAGAAGGCAACTTAGCAGTATCTATGACAATTACGGAACCCTGGGGTGCAGTGGTTCAGAGCTCGGCTACTAACCAAAAGGTTGGCATTTCAAATCCACCAGCCACTCCTTGGAATCCCTGTGGAGCAGTTCTTCTCTGTCGTGTAGGGTCGCAGTGAGTCCAAATCGACTCAGCAGCAGTGGGTTATCACAATTACAATTGCATATGCTTTTTTTTTTTTAAATACTATTTCGTTGTGTTTTCAGTGAAAGTTTACACAGCAAATTAGGTTCATATTTGACAATTTCTATACAAATTGTTCAGTGATATATTTTTCAGTGTGCCAGCATTCTCTTTAATCGCATTCTGGTTGTTCTGTTTCCAGTGCTCTAGTTTCCCTGCCTCTTATCTTTTCATCTTTGCTTTAGAGTGATTGTTGACCTTTTGGTCTCATATAGATGGTTTTTTAATGGTGCACTGTATTCACGGATAATACCCTTTATTTTGTGTGCTCATCTGGTATTTCACTGAAAGGTGATTTCAGGGGATAGTTTTGGTTCAAGGTTTAAAGAATATCTCAGGGTGAGAGTCTCAGGGAGTCCTCTACTCTCAATTGGTCCAGGAAATCTGGACTTTTTCAGTATTTGAGTTCTGTTCCGTGTTTTTCTCCCATTCTGTCAGATTCCATGCATTGTGGCCCTAGCAGAATGGTGGGTAGTGGTAGCCAGGCACCATGTCGTTCTCCTGGTCTTGGTAGACGAGGCCATGGCTCGTGTAGACTGTTAGCCCAGTAGACCAGTTTCTTCTGAGTCTTTGGTTTCCTTCTTTCTGTTTTACTGCTGATGAGTAACATACGCTCCTTGACATAGGAATCCCACTTTTCTGCTTTTTTACTACACATGTGCAGAATGTCATATGTGTATGGTTATTCATTACATTACAGCAAAAAAATTAGAACCAATCTAATAAATACATCATCAAAGTACTGGTTAAATAAATTATGGTGCATTCATATGGTAGAACATTATGCAGCTATAAGATGGAGGAGGGAGGAAGAAGCACTCTGTGCTGATGTGGAAAATTCTCCAAGATGTATAGCGTGAATAATATAAGGTACGTGCATAGTATGCTATCTTGTGTAAAAAGAGATGCAAAAAAGTAAGAATATACTAGTGTATATTTGCATGATACTGGAAGAATGCACAATAAAACTAATAAAATGGTTATCTTGAGGAATTTTCACTATAGACCTTTAAAAAAGTTTTTTAAATAATTTTTTGTTGTGTTTTTAGTGAAGGTTTGTTTACACAGCAGTTTAGATTCCAATTCAGCAGTTTCTACACAAGTTGTTCAGTGACATTGGTTACATTCTTCATGATGCATGAACATTCTCATTATTTCTCTTCTGGTTGTTCCATTTCCATTAATCTAGTTTCCCTGCCCCCTTACGCTCTCATCTTGGTTTGAAAGTAATTGTTGACTGATCTCATATAGATATTTTTTAAAGGAGCACAGTACATACGGGTGATATTATTTTATGAGCCAATTTGTTATTTAGCTAAATGGTGACCTCGGGCTAGTTTTGGTTCTAGGTTTGAAGAGTGTCTCAGGGCAGTAGTCTCAGGGAGTCCTTCAGTCTCAAGCAGTCCAGTAGATCTGGTCATTTTGTTGTTTTAGGAATTTGAAGTTCTCTTCCACATTTTTCTCCCATTCTATCAGGGTCCATCTCTTGTGGTATATACCTTTTAAAATCGCTTGAGGTGTTCTGTCTTGTTAATTTAAATCATATTCACTCTATGATTAGTTGAAAAGTGATGATCAGATTGCTTTATTGTATTCGGTGGTAATACTTCTGTACTGTCTTTGATTTCATTTCATTTCATTCAGCAGCAAGTGAACACCAGCCGACTGGCCCCAGGCGCCGTGCCGAGTGCGTAGTATACAGCAGTGAACAAATGAGAGATGAACTCTGTCCTCACTTAGGATGAATACATCAGAAATCTTCTCCAGTGTATATTATGTCTTTTTTTCCCCCCAGAAGAGGCAGGGAAGAAATGATAAAACAATCATATTCCATCACTTTGCCACAGTCAACAAAGTGAATAGTACCAAGAAAGGAAGGAAAACATTAGGTTGGGAAAAGAAATGTCAATATAATCTACTTACTGACTGAATTTTTTTTTAGCTTAATAAGCATTGAAAGCAAATTTTTATAGTGTCTGGTTTTAGAAGCAGTGTCTATCCATAAGGAGGTATCCTCATTTCCTATGTAATACTCTCTTTTATGAACTTCTGTTGCGTTTATTTACGCATATTGGCAGAAGGTGTTAAATGAATGGTGGAAAGTGGCAAGATTTGAACCTTAGGTTTTTATGAGTCAGTATTCAGTGAACAGATTGGGAGAAAAAAGTGGTGAAGAGAAGGGGACTTCCAGTAAGCTTTACAAAACAAACATATTAAAATAATGCTTACAGGAGGATTATAGATAACTGTAGAGTACGTCCTTGCTCATCTGTGAACAGAAGGCCCAGTTAAGAAAACAATTCCATATAACTTTGACTAGGCTCGGCTACTAACCGAAAGGTTGGAAGTTTGAATCCATCAGCCGCTCCACAGGAGAAAGATGTGGCGGTCTGCTTCTGTAAAGATTACAGCCTTGGAAACCCTATGGGGCAGTTCTACTCTGTCCTATAGGGCCGCTATGAGTTGGGTTGACTTGATGACAACGGTTTTATATATGCAACAGCGAAGGAGATAATGGGGAAAATCTTGACCTAATTGACTTGACGAATAGCTAAAGTAATGACAGTATAGTATGTGCTTTGTATATTATGTTGATTTATACATTTAAAAATTTGCTGTGTTTTAGAAAGTTTCTCTTTAAAATTCTAAATCTGAGAAGGGGATCACTTAAGGACTCCTGATAAATGAACATTTAAAATAATTGGCATTAGCTCAAGTTTTATTTCAGTTTATTAAAAAATGTTCTGATTCTTTATAGCCAGAACCACCAAAGAAACCATCTAATTGGAGAAGAAAACATGAAGAATTCATTGCCACCATAAGAGCAGCTAAAGGACTCGATCAAGTACTTAAAGAGGGTGGCAAACTTCCACCTCCTCCTCCACCTTCCTATGATCCTGGTATATAAGATATTCATTGACAGAAATGCTGGTGTGGAGAGACATATCGATTGAATTTTTATAAAATTTAAGTTATTAAGCTTAATTTATAGTAGTGGAACTTGATGAAGCGTAATCTTTAAATGCTTTGGTATAAAATAATAGTGATTATCCAGGCCTCTAGGCTTATAAAGTCAGTTCAACATTGAAAATAGAAATGCATTATGTTTTTATAGAAATACTTTTATTTAAGCTATTTGAAGCATTATACGCCTACTCCTCACCGACCAACTATCTTGTTATATGACGTTTTGCATTTACGACAGTAGTAAAAAATCTACTGTCTGACTCTCTTTTGCGTTAGCGAAGTATGTCTGGCATAATGAACGCTGAGGTGCAAGACGAGAGTAATACTGGCTGTGATGGTGAAGGTTATGTTTCAACTTGGCTGGGCCACGATTCTCAGTGTTTTGGCATTTATGTAATGATGTAGTCATCCATTTTGTGATCTGATGTAATCAACCTCCATTTTTGCATGATGCTGATTTTCACATAATGACATGATATTTGGAACCTAACCATGTCAATAAGTGAGGAGTGAGTATAATGTTATTTTTTAATAATTGCGGTGCTATTAAATGTTAATATTCCCAGAAATATTTTAAACATGTTCACTGTAGTTTGAAAGGTAGATTCAGTAGGATTCAGTTTCCTGCTTCTTTGGTATCTTCTTATCTGAAAAGGAAAAAAAAAAAAAATCACAGTCTGTTTTGTTTCCAAAGCATAAAAATCGTGTGGCAAAACTACCATATAGAATGATATATCTAAATTATGCCTTAAATTTGGGTATTATATTTCCTTAATTGGGTGGGTAACAGTTGCTTGGTTCATTGATCTCAAAAGCAAAGCAAGATTTTGGCAACCTCACATGAGATATTGAAATACTGGAATAAATAAATAATAGCACATTTGATACTTTGATGTTGGTTATTGTAGCAGACTAAAGAGGTTGTAATAAGTTAACCACATTAAAATTGTGTTAGGACTCTAGATTGGCATTTATTTTCTAGCAAAGAGAAAGTTTTTTAGAAAATCTATACATGATCATTTTTTGAAATTTATTTTAGAGCAGAGGTTGACCAATTTTTTTCTGTAAAGGGTCAAGCAGTAAATATCTTAGGCTTTGCAGGCCATGAAGTCTCTGTCACAACCACTCAGCTCTGCCACTGTGGCACAAAATCGGCCATAGGCAATATAAATGAATGGGTGTAGCTATTCTAGTGAAGCTGTATTTACAAAACAGGCTAGATGTGTCACTTTGTAGTTTCCCTGTTACTATTCTAGAGTATTAGTAATTAACTTAAATTCTCTGAGTGTTTCTGGATAGTCTCTTCTAATTTTAATTTAATTTGCTGCCTGAAGTTGAGTTCTCTCTTTGCTTTGGAGGCATTTGGATATTCCATCTCTACATAGCTGCATTTCTCTTGTCTACTAAAGTGTCAGAGACAGAGGACCAGTGTTTCAGAATGTATTGGGCTTTAGAAACTTTTTTTAAATCTCTTAGGTCTGAAAAAACAACTTCTTAGGAGTATGTTCTAGACTTACTGCCCTAGTAAGCAGGGCAAACTTCTGAGCCTGGGATGAGTGTAAACTATAAAGGGAAAACTCCCTATCAAAAAGCAGACCTTTTTGAAATATATTGAGAATGTGAACCCTGCTCATTTTTTATATCTTGTATCTGCTCTTGCTGCCTCATGTGTTTTCTGTATCTCGTTTAGTTACGATCTTTTGCAATGCTACAAAATTTAAATCTCGGATAATTTTGTGTTTTCATTTTAAAAGGTAATTATTTATAATATACTTTGCACATCATGCCTTTTGGGAGAATATTTTATCTCGGAAACATTTGCTGTTTCTTGAATTTGAATTAATTGTGGTAATGAGGTGTATTTTTTTTATCACTTCTTCTTGACAGTTTTCCTCTAATTGAAATAAGAGATTTTAATAGCTGAGCCCTTATTTTAAAATATATTTTTAGTGTATTGTGTTATTTTAATCATAAATTCCCCTGCCTAACTAGTGTACTGTATATACATGATGAAAACATATGGTTCTAAAGAGGCAAAAGAGGAATTTTTCCTCTTCCTCTACTTATTCCTTCTGTGGGGTCTCCACGAGTTGGAACTGACATTCCTTCTGTGGGGTCTCCATGAGTTGGAATTAACATTCCTTCTGTGGGGTCTTGGAATTGACATTCCTTCTATGGGGTCTCCACGAGTTGGAGTTGACATTCCTCCTGTGGGGTCTCCACGAGTTGGAGTTGACATTCCTCCTGTGGGGTCTCCACGAGTTGGAGTTGACATTCCTCCTGTGGGGTCTCCACGAGTTGGAGTTGACATTCCTCCTGTGGGGTCTCCACGAGTTGGAGTTGACATTCCTCCTGTGGGGTCTCCACGAGTTGGAGTTGACATTCCTCCTGTGGGGTCTCCACGAGTTGGAATTGACTTGAGGGCAGCTAGTTTTGGTTTGTTTGGTTTAGTTTAGTCATTCTGTTGTACAGAGGATTTATCTTTTACTTGTTCTCTTTTTTTTTTCTTTTTTAAGTCATGTACCAGTAGACTTTTGTCCTTAAAAGTTTTTACTGAGTATAGATTGGTCACGCAGGGTGGTTATAAGGAAAAGGGAGATTTTGCTTATCAAATTTCCTGCTTATGTTATATGTCTTGAATTAACTGTCTGTAAACATGTGTGATTCTTCATCTTATTTCAAATATTATTTTATTAATCTGTTTCTGTTTTTATCTGTTTTTAGATTATATTCAGTGTCCATATTGTCAGAGGAGATTCAATGAAAATGCGGCTGACAGACATATAAATTTCTGTAAAGAACAGGCAGCACGTATAAGTAATAAAGGAAAATTTTCTACTGATACCAAAGGAAAACCAACCTCTCGGGCACAGGTAAAATGCTCAGTTTTAAACATTTCTGCAAATAAGTGAGGAAAGCGTTCTTTGAAGTTCATGATTTTTTGTTTGTGCTTTATAGGACATGTAACTACAGTTTTCTAACCTGCTAAAATGTATATATTTTCAGGGGTTAATAATAAATTAGAATAGCTAATTGAGAAAAAATTATTCAAATTAATTTGAAATGGATTTGAGTTAGCAGTGACTTGAAAATATACTGACGTAAAGAGATAGCAGGAGAAAAGTAAAAAAAAAAAAAAAAAAAAAAAAAAAAAGTTAAAGATAGCTGACTCAGATTAAGAGGAAACCTGATAGCTTAGAAGGGGGAAAATGGTACTGAAAATCCATATTTGAAAATTCATGTAAGTAGTAAATGTTTCCATGCTGTATATGAGTAATATACATGATGGAAGTACCTGGGTTAAATCCTAAAGCTACTTTTGAACTTTTGGGTAAATAGCGTTTCATGTATATAAGCCTTTATTTCCTTACTTACAGTATATTACACACTGTGTGCATTGATCAGCTACATGATCATTGTCAGAACCAAATGAAATGATGTGTCAGAGCACTTAGTAGGCCATATGCTATTTAAGGATTTTGTTACATCAGATTCATTTTTGTGGTACTGCTGTTTTTCATTAAGCACATTGTTATGCAGAGACATTGATAATGTCAGACTTTCAAGCAAATTTCAGTTTTCACTAACTCTTTATTTGTAAACAATTTTTTTTTAGTGCTGTAAATCTAGCAGACAGTAAATAATACAATCTGTTTCTGTTACGTATGAGTAAAATGTTGGATTAAAAGACCTCCATACAATTGGAGTCTCTTTGAGAGAATCGGATTATTGACCTAAAAAAAATAATGTTGGAAACAGAGCATATCATTATTATCTTCATCTTTATTAAGTTTTTGTTTGGAATTGCATTGAATCAATTGGTATTCAAGGTGGCATCTCAGTGTCTCTCCATTTGTTTAGGTCTTCTTTAATACCTTTTGATAAGTTGTATAATTTTATAAGTAGGTACTCACATGTTTTGTTATATTTACTAACTACTTCATATTTTTATGCTATTCTAAATGCTAGTTTTAATTTTTATTAGCTTATAGAAATTCAGTTGACTTCTGTATTGATTTTGTATCCAGTTAACCTGCTGAGTTCTCTTATCCTGCAATTCATCTGTAGGTATTTCTAAGTTACGTTTTTACTGATTGCTTTGAAATCAGAGGTAATACTTTCTGTGATTTGAGACTTGAAATGTGTTAAGATCTTCACGGCTTAGCATATAGTCCATTTTTTCAGTGGTTAAAAAGTGCATTTTATATTTGTTATGTACACTAACCTGTAGCTGTCCATCAGATTAAGTTTACTACTGCTGTTATTCAAATCTTTTGTATCCTTCCTAATGTTTTTTTTTTTAAATTTGCTTGTTGTATCAGTTAGTGAGAGGTGTATTAATGTATCCCACTGAGCTAGAAGATTTGTGGATTTTTTCGTGTAGTTCTATCCATTTTTGTTTTATAGTTTTAAGGTTATGGGTAGGTACTTTCATATTTAAAATTATTGTATGTTCCTGATACAGTGAACCTCACGTTAAACAGTGAGTGCCCTTATCTTCAGAATACTCTTTACCTGAAACTCTTACCTGATCCCGTGTGGAGACACCTACACCTGCTTTCTTTTGTAGTATTTGCGTCCAGCATCTGTCTTCTCTGAGTACTTTAGATTTCAGATGTCTGTCTCTTAAACAGAATGTTTATTTGGATATTGTGCTTTCCTTTTAAATTTATTTTGATAATCTTTCTGTTTTCTTCATTCACATTTATTGTAAGTACTGATGTATTTGATGTACATCTATTACCTAATTTTATACTTTGTCTTTCCTATTCTGTTTAATTTTTTCTCTTTTTTTTGGATTGATTATTTTTTATCATTTTTTTTTCCTGTGCTAGTACATACATTGTTTTCTATCTTTCTACTCTTGGATTTTTCCCTAGAAATTATAATACACATACTTATCTAAGTTTAAATTTAGTTTGTACCTTTAACTTTGTATCAGACAAGGTGTGAATCTTAGCTCTCCTCCTGACGTATGTACTATATATTTTTTAATTTTATCCTTTAAAAAAAAAAATTTCCCTCATTTTCTAAGTTTCTTAATTTTTAAACTTATTTTCCATGCCTTTTTCCTTCCTTCCTCCCGTCCTCCCTCCCTCCCGTCTGTCTTTTTTTCTTTCTTAAGGTCTTTCTGCACTTCTTTCCAGATATTTTCAGATCTCTCTTTCCATTTACCAGTTCTCTCTTCAACTATTTCCAGTGTACTTCTAAAATTGCATCTTAAGTTTTAAATCAACCTTTTGAGGTATACTTTGTGTACAATAAATTGTACCTATTTAGAATACACAAGAATTTTGATACCAGTTACTGGAGGGAATGTGTTAAAGACTTCAACTATGCTAGTGAATTTTTCTGTATTTCTTTTTAATTTTGTCAGTTTTTGCTTCAAGTATTTACATTTATAATTTGTTGTATATGCCCCGCTTATTGACCCTTTTTTCCATTGTGAAGTCTCTCTTTTTGTACATGATAATACTCCCTGCGTTGAAGTCTGTTTCATCTGATAGTAATATAGCCATTCCAGCTAAGTGTGTGTGCTTATTTCCTATTCTATTCTTTAGCTCAAATTTGTTTTTGTATTTTTATGGCATCGTCTATAAACAACCTATAATTGTTTTGTGTTTGTGTGTGTGTGGTTTGTTTTTGCTTTTTCAATCCAGTGAGACAGGCTCAACCTTTTATTTATTTCTTTTTCTTTTTTTCTATATTTTATTGTACTTCAAGTGAAGGCTTACACAACAAGTAGTTTCTCATGAAACAGTAGTACACACGTTGTTTTATGACATTGATTAACAACCCCACAACATATTAACCCTCTAACTTCTCAACCTTTTTTTTTGGTGAAAATACACATAGCCAAAGATACAGCGTTTCAAAAATTTCTACATACACAGTTCAGTGACACTGATTACACTCTTCCAATTGTGCTGTTATTCTCACTTAAGATGAAGGCTTACAGAACAAAATAATTTCTCATTTAACACTTACTACAAATGTTGCCCGATGACAATGGTTAACAATCTCACAACACATCAACAATATCCTTACTCAACCTTGGGTTCCCTGTCACCAGCTTCCTTGTCCCCTTCTGCCTTCTGGCCC